ATAGGAATAGTTTCCGCGATGCCTCACAACGCTAGGCGGAGGCGGCTGGCTTGTAGACCAAGCTTCACTTTTCAAAACTCCATTTTTATTTGCTATTTGGACGATGCGACCATAATATCGCATAATTTTTTTAAAAGTATTGGAGTGCGGGACGTTGCGTTATTGACTTGAGTGATTTAAATTTTTGTTATATTTATTAAAATATAAGTTTAAAAAACTGTTAATTACAGATTTTTCCCGTATTGGGGTGTTTTCCCTCATCTCGTCTCCCCAGTGCTTCCCAGCTGAGACTTGCCCTCTGCTCGGATAGAAGCTCGAGAGAGCTCGGATAGAATGTGAGAGACTAGATTTCTCCTTCGCCAACCAGTCAAAATCTTCACTCTCTGATTTTCCTCTTCATAATGGACGAAGCCTTCTGCTCCAAAGCTCGGCCCAAGCAGCCTCCCCCGCAGCCTGTTGAGGCTTCTACACAGCTCGCCCCAGGATTTCGCTTCCATCCTACCGACGAGGAGCTGGTGAGCTATTATCTGAAGCGGAAGGTTTCTGGCAAGCCGATCCGGGTTGACGCGATTTCTGAGATCGATCTTTACAAGGCTGAGCCTTGGGACCTCCCACCTCTGTCGCGCCTGCGAAGCCGCGACTTGGAATGGTACTTCTTTACCTCACTCGATCGCAAGTATTCTAATCGTTGCCGTACCAACCGCGCCACTATAGAGGGGTTTTGGAAGACGACCGGTAAAGATCGGCCAATCCAACGACGGTCTCGGACCATCGGCATGAAGAAAACCCTAGTATATCATGCAGGTCGGGCACCGCATGGTCAGCGGACCAATTGGGTTATGCATGAGTATCGGTTAGAAGATGAGGATCTTACCCGCTCTGGGATTCCGCAGGTATGAAAGCTGTCAAGTAATTGTGGATTTAAGCTGAATTAGGTTTTTTTTTGTTTTACGTGTGTTTTAGAATCCATTTATATATACGGATATACTTTTACTTCTGTTGACGCCGAAATGCAAAACTGGAGCTATACGATTACTTCATTTGTTCACTCTTCCTCGGCAAAGGCCTTCGTCTTTATTACGAAGAAATAGAATGTGAACATTGAATTCGTACTTTTGTTTTGCTTTGGAAGGATGGCTACGTTGTGTGTCGCATATTCCAGAAGAATGGGCCCGGGCCACAGAATGGAGCCCAATATGGTGCGCCGTTTATAGAAGAAGAATGGGAGATGGAAGAAGAAGAAGATGCCAAACGTGTGCCCGTTGATGTGGACCGAGACTATGCACTAGTGGATCATGCTGGTCAGGATTTTGTTGAGTTGGAAGATTTTTTCCAGGTAATACTCAACTTTTGGTAAGAGTTATGAACAAAATGATTCACCGTATATTCAATTATTTACTTTATGTAGATGGCAAAGTTTGAAGATGCTAGAAGTCGTCTTATTCATTGGCTATGTTTTTTTTTTCCCTTTTTTTTCATGTGTTTTTGCTATTTAAAGAGGCCTTTTGACTGCAATTTATTCCTTTTTTTCTACTTTTGTTATGCGCCAGATAGGCTTCATATCGTTTAGAGAGTTAGATAAATAAATTGTCCCTACTGGAAATTTTACCTAGCACACAATGAGTTGAAAAGGAGCTAGTGCTTGTCTCAGGGAGATCCACCTGGAGAGCTCTGGGATAATGAGGAAGGGGTCGGTACAATTTTGGAAAGTGAAGTGGTTGTGATGCTTTAGTGTTTGAAGCGAAGACTGGTGGTTGCGAATCCTCGGATGTTTTGATTTGCTTTTGGATAGCTTGGGAATCAATGGTACTTAGAATGTGGGGTTTTAATATTACATTGGATTAACTTTAGGCATGTCTTTGTTTCTAGGGTTTTTGTTTTTCAATTTTGATTCAAGAACCTCCAGTTTGATGCCAAAATGTTTTGTTGAAGAATCTCAATGCTGCTTACGAATGAGAAGTTGTAGTTCTACCTTTTAGCTATAAGGAAGAATCAATAGGGTTGCAAATGTACTGAGCGTTTGATAAGCTACTCTTGGCCCGACTCAATTAAAGCTCGTTTATAATCATTTGGTTACTTAATCGAACGAGCTTGAGCATTTTCATAGCAACTCGATTTCTAGATGAACAAGTTTGAACTTGTTTTTTTCATTTATATTAATGAACAATATCATTAAAGCTCATAAATAAACTTGATTAAAGCTCGATTACAACTGGTTTATGAACATTGTCATTTAAATGTTTAATTTTCGTCTCAACAAATGCTATTTGATGTTTCCCTACAAATTGCTCGTATAAAAATTGAGTAAGCCTTGATTATAACTCATTTATTTAATTTAATGATATGCTTGTTAATAAATTCGATAATCCATAAATGAATTGAGCTCGAATCGAGCTCGAACAGGGTTTTATAAACGAGCTTGAGCTTGAACATTGTCTTAAAAGCTTGAATGGAGGTTGAGCCTAGCTCGAATAAACTCTTAATAAATGAATTCGAGCTTAAACAAGCACCTGCTTGGTTAATTTGCAGCCCTAAGGATCAATAGTGGATTTAGAAAAGTAGTGGTGAGGAAATTAACAAATGAAAGCAAGAGGTGGATTGATCAGAGGAAGAAGCGGGGGAAGAGGTCTTTCACATTGGAGTTGGACAGGGAGGTAGAGAGATGGGTAAGGATAGCGAGAGAAGGCTCTGTGGGGTTGATGAAATGCATTTTTTTATTGAGCTCAATTAAAATTTTAATGTCTTAATCTTGGTAAGAGTCCGAAAAACGTATTTACAAATAGTTCTTACAATAGGAAATTTAAAATAACTAAAATAAAAAATTTAAAAGTATTTTAAATCCATCACAACTCATTCATTAAAACTAACTTACAAAATAAACAAAATAACATTAAGATGTTTTAGCTTGTTTTTGAGTGAGCATATTTCTATTCATGGACATATTCTCTGTGATTACCTAATTTGATTTATGCTTAGATTTTTATAATGTGTTTAGTATAAATATGTTGCTTGGAACCTTTTTTGATACTTCAGGTGGTGTGCCTGTAGTCTGGTCGGTTAAGTTGGTGATCTCTCTCAACTATTCGAAGTTCTACTCCGACTTGTTATTTAGCCTCCAAGAACGCCAATTTCTCAGTAATCATCATCTTTTCACTCTTTTCATCCTACAACTTATCTAACCCTTCTCTTCAACACCCCAAACCATCTAGTAATCCTAAATCAATGTCAACTGTTGGGCCCTTTGGTTCTCAATAATTATCATTGAATTTTTAAGGCGTGTTTGATGATTATTATAGAGAGCTTCCTTATTCAACAAAGGCAGCATGTTACACGCAAAAAGTTTGAATTGTCCATCTTTTTTTATGAGATTTGGTTGAGTGCCAGGAACCTATTTGTATTTGCTTGTAATTAGAGGTGCCTTTCGGGTCAGCCAAGGACGAGCCATAGAAAGTGATTGTTTTAGGTCTATGAACAACTAAGGCATACCCTAAAAAATGATTGTTTGATTAGAGGTGAGGAAATCTCATTGTAGGGTCCCTATTTTGCTAATTTTGCTAGATTTATTAGAGTGTTGTGTCATGCATCTTGATGTATTATTTATAAAGAGGCCACCATTGATCAATGCATGTTTTTGAATAAATGTTAATTTTATAAGATTTTCTGAGGAATCTTATGATCAATGCATCATTTTGAGTATTGTCAGATTATATATGTTTTTTTTGTGGAATCTATCATTATTATATTGGTTGTGTTTATCAAGCCTTTAAGACTGCTTTAAGACTAGTTTTGGGTTCCATGCTAAAAATTCCAGTCAGCAGTTTCAATACTTTTTCTTGATTTAAATATTCAATTTTGCTTATCTTTTATTATAGAATATTTTAATAAATATATTTAAGTATGAGACAGAGCATTTTCTAACTCTAGTTCAAATTATAAGTTTTATGATACAATTCTATTATAATTTTGTCATCAATTGTTCCAAGATTTTAGTGGAGTTTTTTTTTTTAATGAAATACTTGTTTTAAATAACACTATCATTGCCGTGTCCCAAGCTCCAGATGCGAGAAGTGTAGGATTGTATTAGGTAGTCGATAGCCAGCATAAAATTTGTTGAAAAATCATGACATGAATGATGATATGTTTTAAATGTTAAATATTTTAATTGCATGCCCCAAATTGGGTAAAATAGAATTATTTAGTTATTAACACAACGTTTACATTAATGTTTATTCTAAAATATTTTGCAAGCTTTATTTTGATTTGGGTTTTTATCATGGTCATGCAATGTAAAGATTTGGTTGCTTTGAAATAAAAAAATGAAAGATATGATTTGGTGTCAGATATTCTTCATTAAAATGTTTGGAGGATGCATTGTAAAATGTACTGCATGTTTTAATCCTATGTTTATTTGTTAATGACTGGAATTTGCCTACTCTATTTGTTGGCAGTTTTTTGTGTATCTTATTCATTTTTGGTCTGGAAGACTCGTTTGCCATGTCGATGGTCTTGTACTAGTTAGGTAAATGAGCAGCTCTATCAAACTAGTCATTTTTGAGTGTTGGTATGCACTTCAATTTACTCACCATCATTTGAGTTTTGAGTCTTTCATTTTTTTTAGTATTTAAGGTTGAAAATGGCATGATATTCATTTTTTTAAATGAAATCTAACCGTTTTTTCTACCTTATGCAGGTTCGCTAATCTATTAGTTCTCAATTTAGTGTTTTCTACAGTTCATGTAAGGTCAACTGTCTTTGATTTTGTACAGTAACATCAAATTTATTCTCAACTTTTGCATCTTGTATAGGTAATTACTTTTAGTTGTTGTTCTTTCATTTGTTTGTTGAAATTGTTAAATGTCTTTAATTTCACTGTTGGTCTTGTGTCATGCCGCGCCCTTATGGCTCGTATCTTCTTGTTTGGAATTTTCTGATGTCTTAAGCTCTGTGCATCTAAGCTTATCATGTAAATGTTGTTCATGCGCGTCATCTGGTTATGGTGATCAATCTTTTATTTCTGGTTTTGTTAATTACATGTTTTATTGCATACTTTAAATGTTCTAAACTTCAGTATGCTCCTATATGTAATGTGGAGGTATACTGCTTGAGAATTTGATTAGTGAAGATTGCTCCTACTTTTTGTATGTAAAGTTAATTCTTCCATTATTATACCTGAATTTTTTTTGTTCATATGTTTCCATTTGAAGATTTTAATACAATCAATACAGCTCATAATTTCAACTTGAGTTTTACTTTTTCAGAATCCAGACTCTGGCTATCAAAATTTGGATGCTTTCCCTTCTGAATCAAGGTCTGCTGAGCATCAGTTTGGTAGCCGAACAGAAGATTCATCTATCTTCGTGGATGAAATTTTGAAAACCCTGGATTCTTTAGATGATAGGATTCCGGGTGCAGATTGTTCTGCTCCACAGTTTATCAATACTCCTCTTAACAGGCTTGGAGAAATGGAAGGCCGTGAAGATCAGTCAATTTTTGCTTCTTTACAGAGTAATGGATACATGCAGTTAGAAGATATTTTTGTAGAGGGTAACCCAAATCCTAGCTCCGACGCATGCTCAAATTATTGTTTATGGGATACAGGTAATAATAATAACTCCGTGGTGAATGACATTAGCCCTTCAAAAAGCTTATTTCGAAAGCCTGCTGAAGAGGAGTCGTGTTATACTAATTGCTCTACTAGCATGGATCAACTACAGTTAAGCCAAACTGTTCAGCATGATATGTTTCCACAATCTTTGGATCCTTCGGATACCGTGCTTTGGGAATATCCTTCGGGTCAATTAGCAGAGGATAATTCAATATTTTATGACGCACTCAACCATGAACTTGCTTATTCAGAAGGTGGTTTTGCGTTAGAAACTTCTTTGGCGCCTTTGGCGGACTTTGAGTTGTCCGAGGATTTAATGGCTTACTATGATGCTTCAGATGATAACCTAATTTACGGTTCTCCAAACCTGCTCTCTTCAAAGTTCGAGCAGGCTAATTCTCTTGAATGCATTGAGCCAAATGATTCTCTTGAGGTGATTTTATTCCAATGATTCTAAGAAACTTATGCTTTACGTACCGTTTGGAAGGAGCTCTAGCTCTAAATTGGGCTATCGACTAAATCATGTACTGCAGGTTGTTGGAAGCACCAATTCATCTTATAAGGAAGTTCTTCATGAAAAGTTAGTACTGCAGAGTTCATCGGGGAAGCCACAAACTGGTGATGGTTTTTCAAGTGGATTGAATGGTAATCTAACTGGTATGATCTTTGATATAAACTGTATGCTCTTTGATGGTTGTCAACTGTTATTATCTTCTACCTTAATGGAAAAAGGTTTAGAGCAAAGATGTTTTGAACTTAAATTATGTCTTGTAACTTTGAGCTTGGGCTTGAACTGAAGGAACCCAGCTATAGATATTTAGTTTCCCAGTTCTCCTCTTTTTGTAAGCTGACTGCAAAAAGAATAAGAGAAATAAATGTTCGTTAATGATTACTAAATAATTAAAATAATAGAGTAGTTACATTTAATTTCAAATGAATTTTTGAAGAATTTTATTGATAATGGAGTGGTGGTTACATTTCTTACAATTCATCTCTCTTAATGGATAAATAAAATTACAAATCTATAGTCATTTTTATCAACCTTAGAATATTTTTCTTAACATATGTCAGATTCTTAGTTACAATTCTATTTTAAAAAAGGCCTTATTTAAGGAATTAGCCACCAATTATACAAAATGGGTTAGTATGATTCTATTTTTTTCCAAATTGAAGTTTGCTTTTAGTTGATTTGCATCGAAGTCTTAAACTACAAACCAAAATACAATTTTTAAAATTGAAACTCAGTGACGATTATCATTTTGTTTGGTTCCTGTTTGGTTTTTTTATTCTGAAAAAGAAGAGTGCGCTTTTATGTTTGATATTAAATTATGAATAACAGATAATTGCTTTTTATTCATCAAGTATTCCACCATTAGATTGAATATCAAAACATAAATATAAATAAATGGATGGGGATAGATGTTTGAGATGTGTTTATAAAATAGAGACAACTAGGATCTGTTGGTGACGAGTGCCCTAAACCTATTAGTTGCTAAATTAAGTTTGAAAAATTTAAGTGTGCCACATCATATTATTTAATTTAGCCAAAAACTAAGGCACTAGTCTAAATTGGACGGAATCAATCAATTTTTCATATATGGTTATTAATTCTTTTGATTCACGTTTGGTGCACAAACTCTTGTAAGGCTAGCTAGCTATATTTACACGAGGGACCTGAGCCATGCAACACCACTCGCCAATCAAAAGTGTGATTCAATGAAGATAATAAACCTGCGAGCAGAAGAATAATGATTTAAAAAGTTATAGGAACTACGAGATCGACAGATGAATCATATGACTGGTGGGATTGAAGCATATAATTGAGAAACTAACTAGCTATAGAAATAGAAGAAGCCATGGCTAAATAGACCTGTCAAATAATTTCAGGTAATTGAGAAAGTAGATTTTGAAAATAGATTTCTTGGATAGAGATGTTGCATTTTCCAAGGAGCTGAACGATGGTAAGAATAGGATGGCCATAACTTTCGAAATTGGATAGCATCATATGCTTGGAAGTTCAACATCCCAGATTTACTCAATTTTAAAATTTGACAAATTTATTGGGTCATAAACTAAATCGTTCACATCTCTGCCAATTATAGACATCTTTCTTATCAGTTAGAATTTTAAATGGAAAATTTAAACACATACTGCACAATTTTTAAATATTGACATATCTAACACCTAAACTCTCATATTTACTTTTATAATACCTTGGGATTGTAAACTTATGCCTGAAAATGTGTATTTTACTTTTAAGAAGTTAATGATAGTGGCAATTTTTATTATATATTGCTGATTTTTTCGATGAAATTCTTCTTGAATTCTAACATTCTTACAAATCTTTTGTGACAGATGCCAAACTTAAAGATCCTCAGGATAAAACATTAACAAAACGTCTTGCCTTGGGAATGTAAACCTATGCATGGAAATATGTATTTTACTTTTAAGAAATTAGTGATAGTGGCATATTTTATTATATTTTGCTGCTTATTTCAATGAAATTCTTCTTGAATTCTAACATTCTTACAAATCTTTTGTGGCAGATGCCAAACTTAAAGATCCTCAGGATAAAACATTAACAAAACGTCTTGCCAGTATGCTGAATTCAATTTCAGCTCCTCCTGCTTTTGCCGATGAAGCTGCTTTGATTGGCAAAACCGCCAGACATATTCCAGCCGCTTTAGGAGGTGAGCTTCGTCTTACTGCAGGTAAGATCCAAATGGGAAATTGTATCGCTATGGACTATTCAGAGAGCGGGACATTGCGGAAGCACACAGACATAGGTTTCTACCTTTCTTATGGCGTTGATGGCAGTATTGTCGGCAAGTCAGGCAGCCTCGAGCGAAGACGAGGAAAGGTGCTAGGTGGATTTTATTCAACATTTTGCAGTGGTGGCTTTCATCTGTTTTTCATTTCTGCTGTCATACTTGGCTTGAGCTGCAAAATTGGGCAATATGTTTGCAAATTGTTGGGTGGTCTCTTAGAGCGAAATTGATAATGCTAATTTGCACTTTTATTATCTATTATTATGATAAGTATATTGTCTCGTATATCTGATGGATGATATAATGAGTGTTAATATTTTGTTCGAAATTTAGATCCTTTAGATAATTTGATCGCGTTTATTGTTATGGATGCCGTTTCATGTCATTGTGAGTATTCCCCTTGCGCTCCTCTCCCTCGCGATACACTGTCGACGCAACATACAAAGACCTCCGAAGTCCTCATCTTCCTCCCTGCATTTATCTGCCCCCAGTCTCCCCTGTTCAATCCTGCATAGAATCACATCCGTCAATTTTTATTTCGTTTCGCCTACACTGCCTCTCCAGCCGCAAAGCCCTCTTTCGTTTCGCGCGCCAGAAGCCTGTATTCTTCCCTCACACATGACCCCAAAGTCGAAGCCCCTTGCTCACACGCAGAAGCCTCCCTTCTTCGCTTCAATATATCGAAAATTGCAGGTCCTCCCCC